ATTGCGATAAGAAACGTAGGAAACGGTGCTATGGAACAGAGGTCGTCAAGTGACTAATCTGGGAAAATGCCGAAGGGAACGTCGGAAACACCTTTTATAGGGCTTCTTCAGCCTTGAAGAGCGGTTTGGGTAAAGGCCAAAAGACCGCGGCATGGGACGAGTCCGTTTAGCTGATTCCTTGTAATGAAACCTGTTACTCCACAAGAGAGTGTGGCATCCACTTTCGGAGCTCCTTCCAAACTCACTAGATAAGCAGCGGCTAGCGCCGATGCGGAATCTTTGGAGCGTTCCCGTCTCAGGATATATTTCAATCATGAAGCTTCTATCTCTCTCCTTTTCCTTCCTCCATCTTTCTTTTCCTCTCTTCACTCTCTCCTCCATCCTCCCTTGCCCTGCTGGGCCAGTAGACGCGATAAGAAAACACTTCTGAACCCTCGCAGCGAGAGCATGTTCGGTTGACAACAGCCGTGTGATCATCGCATTCCTTTACCGTTGCTGCTACCGAAATGATTGTGATCCCTTTGAAGACTTCCCATCTGCGCTAACCGCGGCCGCTGCTGTGAATCGAATCACCTCCACAGAAAGTCTACTCAACCGCAAAACGTCAACACAATAAAGGTTGGCATAGCATGTGATGGTTTCTTTACTTAGCCTAAAATGCTAGTAGGGCGCTGTATAGTGGGGAAATGGCGAAAGAACGGAGTGAAACGGTCAAAATCCTGGCGAAGAAAAAAGAGAAAAAGCCTCCGATCTCACTGTGTAATCAAGTTTTGCGACGCAGTTTACGAAGGCATTCATACCATATAGCATCGAAGGCTACGGGCTGCATTATGTGTACTTCATCCATCCATGCAGCATCACGACCGCTTCATACCAATGCCTTCCCTTCATAATTTGCTTAGCAAATGAATCAATTAGAGCGTCTGGAAACAGTTCCGCTCCATTTGTAGCGGCGGCGGCAGGGGGGTTTAGGACGTAAGCGTATGTGGCTTTTGGTAGCGCCCTTCTAAGGGCACCTTCCCTGGAAAAGAAGGCATTATGCAGCGCCTGCTCAGGGTAGCGGAATTTCGTCCTCCCAGGTGTATTAGTAATGCTCGTCTTGGAGGATTTATCGTGCCAACTGCCTTTGAAACTATCGTTGTCGATCACCTGTTCAGCTAAACAAGTAACAATAGTACATCGCGATAATACCGCGGTTTATTGGGAGATAAAACATGGCCACTTTCTTATTCATAAAAGAAACTTGTTTCGACAACATAGATGTCTCTTTGCGAGTCAGGTGTATGTATTCCCTCACATGCCCAAAATTCCCATATAACCGCGTAACTGTGGAAGACTAACGAAATATTAGGTTGTCCGGAAAGTTCTCAGCGTTTTGGGTGTTTCACTTTAAACGATCGTAACTTTTTTAATACTCATCGGATTTAATCGATAGGCACCATTCGAATCAGCACACTTTTGCCAATGTGACAGCAGTCGGGAAATCCCACAACAATAAAAACTGAGTTGGTCGAAAATTCACGAAATCCACGAAGGCTTTTTGCCTGGTCCTAATTGATGAAGTATTTCCCAGCAAGGAAGTTCTGAATGTTTGAAAAGGTGATAGTTTCGGTTGGTGAAAGGTCTGGAGAATATGGTGGGTGTGGTAGAACTTCAACCCCAATTCGTTCAATTTATGGATAGTGATTTGTGAAACGTGTGGGCGGGCGTTGTCATGCAAAAGAATCGGACCCTTTCTTTTGATAAGTGTTGGCTGCATCTGACAAAATTTTCGGTACAATTCGTCGATTTCTTCACAGTAGGGTTCTGCTGTGATGGTTTGGCCTGGTGATAAAAGGTTATAGTGGATCACACCAGCCGCATGACCAAGCAATTCTTTTTTTCGTGAGGGTTCGGCTTTGAAAATTACCTCGGTGGTTCGTCGAAATCCAACCACTGTCCGGAACGTCTCCTGTTATCATACATGATCCATTTTTCATCACAGGTGACAATTCGGCCTAAAAACAGGTCGTTTCTGCTGCGCAAAAGCAGTGCAGAAGGAACCTCGAGACGTGCCGATTCCTGCCGGTCACTCCGATTGTGGGGCACCCAATTGTCGAGTTTTTTCACCTTCCCAATGCGTTCCAGACCATCCAGTGGATTTGCGCTTTTTTGCAACCGCTCGAAGTGTTTGGGATTGGTCAGCCTCCACAAACGCCTTCGAAATCCTCGTCAGGTATTGCTTTAGGTCGACCGCTACGAGGTTCATCTTCAGGGCTGAGATCTCCAGAACGAAATTTGTCGAACCATTGCCGCACGGTGCTTTCTCTAGCACTATTGGGCCCTTTTTGGTCCAGAAGAGGCATTTTTGAAAAGTCTTGCTACGTAAACCTTACCACTTAACCGTAACTTTAGTTACTTCCATTCGCGACATCGCAGGACGTTAAGTCACGGTTTCTTTGGACTGATAAGTAAGAACTTTCAGAGTCTGTCTAGCTGATCAAACTCTCATCACAAGTATGCTGGTTACGGGCAGAAGGTTCAAGGCAGAGCCAGCAATCGTATATTCTGGCCAGTGGGGTCCAAGTAAGGACGCCAAGAAACGCCAGGGCTTTGAACTGACCTCCCTAGTTCTACGAGCCGATGATTTGTACAAGCGAGAAGAGGGCTAGCAGGATGTGATTAGACGAGATTACCGGGTAGTTATGTTGTGGTCGATATTGTCGCCGCAGATCCTTTTCAAGTGACAACTAGTTTCTTGGGCGGGTCTCCTGTTATAGTGGCTGGGTAGAGCCAATGAAGATGGCTTGGCTCCGCTACGTAACAAGACAATCATAATTGGACACCTCGCCGCGCGCAGGGCACATCGTTGTTGGGGAATCCCCAACAGGGGGTCGTATTTGGGCTGAAAAAAATTTATTTCGATGTGTTGGGAGGGAGGATCGTATTTAGTCTCTGTTTATTTTTTGGCTTTCTGGAAAAGGTGGTTGACTTTTCGTGCGATTTTCCTGTTTGCCTCGAATTCCACCCCTTCGCTCTGTGAGGAAGGGGAGGGGAAGTACCAACCCCCTAGAAAAAGGTAGGGTCGCCAGCGACTTGATCAAAATCCCCAACCAATGGAAATGTTTCCTAGTCATGTTGTAGATGGGGTTAATAGACACTAATACCAGAAAATAGCCACAAACGTCTGGCTAAAGCAGCACACAAATGGCCTATCGCCGCTTGCGACGGAGCGGAGAATTCACGATTGTCCTGACCAGTTTCCTGGTTGGGCCAGTGAGAGGGGGCGGCTATAGTGCTTACTCGCGCGCCGATGAGGCCGGGGACTTGTCCACCGCCGTTGTGAAACAAGGTGCTTGAGTAGGAACAGCAACTAATCTGCCCGCGAACCCGTACGAAACGGGTAGCGAATGATTCTGCCGCTCATTTCACGTTTTCTTAATTTACTACAGAGACCGTCGCTTGAACTCTGCTACCTGGAAGCCAAAGCCACCCATAAATTTTGCCATTATATAACTGACACCTCTTACATAATGAGAAAATTTGTTCGCGTTTAGCATGTTCTTTGCGAGGGAATTCGAGAGCTGAAAAGCCACCTACAATTTTTATTGCATCTCAAACCTTTTCTACTTAGCTTTCAGCCTTTTTGTCGCTTTCTTGCAATGAAATTAATTAGTTTCTGCAATTCCAATTAGACTAGTGTTCCACGGATAATGCATTCTCAGAAAGCAATGCTTTGATGCTGACTAAACAGTAAACAGTGAATGGCTCTTAGATTTGACTTCCTCGACACTTCCGACACGAAGCTTGAGCTCCGACACTTCTTCCAAACCGAGTCACTGCAGCTGTTGCCTCTGAAAGCTCCTCTGTTTCTGGGCTATGATTAGACCGTTTCTCCGGAAACTCACTTCCCTGTCTGTTCCTTGTCAAACAGACGTCGTTCTCATGACAACACCCACAGCTACCGATATCAACATCTAACATGGCTCTGTTTTTCGTTTCCCTCGTGATCATCCAACTTTTTTTGCACGCTTCATTAATTTTCAAAGATGTTTTGCATGCAAGGTATAATAGTACAGCGCTGGCAGCCTAAGGGCATACCCTCCGCGATGCTCTTCTCTCGCATTAGCCTACACTGCCGAAAGCTTATAAGAACTCTTGAGGCAGAATCCCACCAAAGGGACTATCTGTCTGTGTTTTTTTCAAGCAAGAACCCTCCGAAGAGCTTCTAGTACTCCTGCTGTTTTCTAGCTCGGTTTATTGCGTCTCAGTAATACTCACATTACTGGTGTCTTAAAAGCAGCACTGGCGAGCTGTGTCTTAAAAGCGGACTGGCGAGCTATCTGGAGCTGGACTGAATGTTTCCTAGTTAGAAGCATCGATCGCCCTCCACTAATTCTTCAGTGGGCAAGATAGTGCTCACAATCGCCTTTACTCATCAACTTGGTCACCTATGGTCTATTCTGAAGACAATTCCCGCGATAAGGTGTTAAGGGTATTCAGTGCTCCACCATGAACAGAGTTCCATAAAGTAACTCACAGTAGAGTAATAGATGCAAAAAAAACATTGGGAAATAGCGCAACAGAGGCCTTCCACTCCCCCCCACCCCATTAGCCAGTGGGGCACCTTGGAACGAGTCAGCCTGTCCTCATAGACGTCGCGACTACGCAAGACAATCAGCAGGACTCAACGTGCAGCCAGGTTCCGACAAGAGCATCATGCAAATCAGCCTACGACGCTCCCATGGCAACCTGTTGTACGGCACGCAAACTCGCTTGTAAGCCGCTGTCTTGCAAAGTGAAAGTAATCGTGTGATGCAATGGCTGCAACAACCAGCGTCTCTAGCTTTTTATCTCGCCCTTTCTCGTGATGAAAGTGGTATATTCTTTGCGAATGCTGATGCATTTCGGCAAACTCACGGAGAAATTGCACGGAGCACTTGGTCGCTGGCGAACTGTCTTTTCAAACTCCGCCTTCCACCGTTATGATCCAAGGCTAGAAAACCTCTCAACCCTACAAGATGACGAGGTTCACGACCGCCGAGGCTTTACTAGACTTTACTACATTCAAGTCTTCGAAAATGGCTAGAATTGGAGCTCAGGTGATGGGTCCTCTGCATCAGCGCTCGCTCCAGTGTTGGCCATTTTGCGTTTCCCTGCCCTTGTCCTTTTTCGCTCTCCACTGCCCTTTCTAGTGCATCATCGTCCCTCTCCAACTACAGTTCTCAGCAATTCGGAGAAACCATATGTGTTTTTTTTGAGTTTTCGATACATCATGCTCTTTTGAATCGAGTCAGCGACATCACTTCTGAACATCAACTTCTAACTGCGGATCAACCTTGTAAACATTTGCTACAGAAAGCTATCACAGTTATTAAGGCTGTTGCCTACATTCTTTTCCTGTATTCAAACGAAGTTTCAGACCTGGTATTACTCCTGGCGGTAGTAGCCTCGATAAGATGGCCATACGCGGCGAAAACCTTAGTCTCTCACTTCGATGATCCACATGAGAACGATGTTCGTTTCTAATCCTTTTACTAACTCTCACAAAAAAGCGGTAGATCTGGTGTCCGTAATCCCATTCCATAACTCGGAGATGGGAGAGCGTGGCTGCCTATTTCATCCGGAAGTTGCGACCCGCTTTCAGGTTGGATCTTTCCATTCCAGCCCTCATCCAGTCTTACGCTAGACAAGGGCATGTATAGAATTGTCCCAAAACGAAGACATCCCCACCAGGGGCTCAGCTGTCGCCGCGTTCGAATGAGGCAAGTAGCCACGCCCTCCCTATTTCCTGTATATGGGAATGCATTTTTCCCTTTTTGTTCCCATTTTTCCCCATTTGTGAGGGCCTCCTTCTGAAATGGAGATGCCTGCGGGTGCTTGGACTAAAATGGTGGGGATCCGGGACTTCTTGCTTTCGGTATTTCCTTCAGCTAGTGAATATTAATTAACAGGCCTCACTTAGGTGATACCGCAGTGGTCTTGGAGGGGCGAACGAGCTTGAAACTCCCTACAGGTCCTCACAGGTGGCTTTCACAAGCTTCGCAGACTACCATCTGATGCACCTACCAAGCAGAACTGTGAGAGGGTTTCTTGTGACAAGTGGGATGCTCATCTTACCCACTATCCCAATATAGGATTCCAGTACAAGTGCCGGTAAAGTTAATAAGCCCAGCTTTCTTTCAAAATCGCGCAGCTGGTACAAAAAGCTTTGTAAAAATATCAAAACAATTCATATAATACATTTACAAAAATCGCCAAATGGCATAGCTGCCATTTAGTTGCTAACGCGATTTTGAATCGACGTCATGGGCGCGGCGTATCCTGAGAGGAGCCGATCAGTGAGACAGCCCATTCCCCATGAATGGTTGGAGCGGGCAAGCGACAACAAAAGGTGGAAAAACGGTGGGCTAATTCGTGTTAAACGCATCCGCGCCAACAAGACCCAGGGCATATGGGTGTCTAGCCTATGCTTCCTAAGGATCTCCCTATAGTTCCGCATATTTCTCCCTCCTGGTCTACATGCCCGATATTCCGCGAGCTAATATACCCATTACTGTAACGGCATCAACTGGATTCAATCACTGGCAAGTACAGTCACCCTCGTTCACCCTGAGATGGAATAATTTTTGGTGAGATCGATGTGGGAACCGTATGGGTACTGCATTGGATGGCAGGGTATCCCGAATATAGTTCCCTCTCGATAAAGCATGAAAATACGCTTTTCAGGGTCCTCTTCCGAAGCCTCCGATCCCGACCTTAGATCACTCGCTCGATCGTTACATTGAATATGCTGAAGTGGTGGCTGAAGGACGTCGTCAACCGCTTCAGAGAACGCAACGAGCCGTCTATGACTTCAGAAAAGCAGGCCTTATCTACCAAAAAAGGCTGCTTCGGTTGGCTGAGAGCGAAGAGAATTGGGTAGGGATAATCA